ACAAACGCAACCGATCGCAACCGCAACGGCTCGCAAACGCAACGGGTCGCAAGCGCAATGGCTCGGAAGCGCAACGGGTCACAACCACAACGGTTCGCAAGCGCAACGGCTCACAACCGCAACTGGTCACAAGCGCAACCGCGGGGAGCCGCCTGTCAGACGGCATCGACTGTAGACGAAGCCAGGAGTGGGAGCGAAGAGCACAGCGAGCGTCTGGATGGGAAAGGCTCTTTGGTCGCTGTGCAACTGTGCACTTCTCGTGTAGAATGCGGTACATCTCAGAAACTTTTAAACGTTCTGACACCCACACTGCACCCGCGTTGGCGCGGCAGAAATTACTTTTGTGGTAAGTAAACAATTATAGATTTCTCTTTTGCAAAACCAATATCTGTGGCTGTTTAAAAGTACGTATATTTACTCCATTAGAGTTCTATCCTTCAACTGTATAACCCTACATTTTACTTTATATCATAAGGTGGGTTAGCTTTGAAGCTCAGTGTTCACTAGTCAATGCAAAGAATGAGTTAATGTGTGAACTAATACTGTAATGTATTTTGAAAAAAATGTGTCAGGTGTGTGTGTGTAGTGTAGTGTGTTTGAGATTGTAAGATTCAAGTTGTGGCGTCCCAGCATTACTCAAACTCTCAGCTATTGATTTGCTGAATTTCAGCCGTGTCAAAACGTTCAAAAGTGTCTGAGAGGTACCGCATCCTACACGAGAAGTGCACAGCGACCATAGACTAGGTTGATTTCCCTTCCAGAGGCCCGCTGTGCGCTTCGCTCCCACTCCTGGCTTCGGTTACAGTCGATGCTGTCTAACAGACGGCTCTCCGCGGTTGCGCTTGTGACCCGTTGCGCTTGTGAGCCGTTGCGCTTGCGATCCGTTGCGGTTGTGACCCGTTGCGCTTTCGAGCCATTGCGCTTGCGAGCCGTTGCGCTTGTGACCCGTTGCGGTTGCGATCGGTTGCGCTTGTGAGCTACGTCGAAAGGTGGCGTCTGAATGTTTTTTAAAAGCGTCATGGTAATGTTTTAATTTTTTCAAATTTTAAAGCATTTCATGTTTGCACTTTCGTCCTTTTATAGCTTTACCGAATAAGAGACAACGGTAAGACAAGCTTTAGGGGGGGGGGGATGATGTTGGTTTTGCTACTGTGCATACATGCCAAAAGTGGTGCTTCGAAGTTTCATGCCCGCCACTTGATGTTTCAATTTTTCAAATTTTAAAGTATTACGTTTTTTACTTTGGTTCATGTAGCCCCTCTTAATCAGAGACGAGGTCGTCTGTATGTGTGTCAGGAGGGGGGGGGGATGCTCCTTCGTAGTAGTTTTTACATCTTTTGGGAAAGCTTGGGCCCAGAGCGTGAGAGGGGGGGGGGGTCTTTGTGTTTGAGCGGTTTCAAGCGCAGTTTCTCATGTCTCGGAGCATCTGCTTAGTGGTGTGGTTCCGAAAAAGGGGATCCACAACTTTTGTTTTATGCTGTTTTGAGGGCAAGCGACGTATGTCGCCGTTGGATTGGCGCGTCTGAGCAATTTTCATTAAATTTGACGACAAACTGGACCTGGCGGGAAAACGGTGCTTCGGAGGCGAAAAGGGACGAAATTTCTGGCCTAGGGGTCGCAAAATGACAATTTAAAATGGGGGGGGGGAGACTCATACAATTTCCTATCTAAATTCAAAAGCATCTCTTTTTCACACTTTCGTACTTGTTGCCTTTTTTAACGAGAGACAAGGGCAGTTGTTGGTTGTGTGTGTCCTTCGGGAGGAGGG